GTAGAGACGCCGTTCTCGACGTCCAGCTTTGAACGCCGAATGTGGGAACGCTACAGCCATTTGTTTCGCGTCACGCCGGAGAGCCTGCGTCCCCACATAAGGTTATATCATACTATTGTTCCCTGTATATGCTGCGGATCCTGCGTGGCACCTTGCATCTGGGGGGATTGACAGGGCGAACCTATCGGGCATTGAAGCGAGGGTGGATCGTAGAGGCCACCCAGGGAGCCACCAAGGCCCGCGCCGAGACTGGGCCCCAAAGCCGCGTTAAGCTCGGGCATGGAGGGCAGGCCCACGTCGAGGATGCCGGTGTTGCTGGCGCCGCCGCCCTGCGAGCCTTCTTCCGGCGGTGTCACCTCCAGGCCGATCGAGCCGTTCAAGGCGATCTTGATCGGGTTATGATTGGAATGATGCGAGAGCGCTCCCAGACCGATATCCTCCAGACTGCTCTTCCGCCTGGCCGTCGTCGTCAGGCTCTGTCTCAGAGAATTACTTCGTCGCAACAGAATATCGTCGACCACTCTCAACGAGTTTGAGCGACCGCGCAGAGTTCCGGCCACGGTGGGACTATCGGGTAGAGACAACGAGTTTGATTTTGTCGTGCTGAGGGGTGGCGCCCTGGCCAGACCTATGCTGGATCCACGACGGCTTCCCGGACCACCTGTCTGCAGACCCGCAGCCGCGACCGCGGCGCTCATCTGTGACACTAGCTGCGCCGAGCAGAAGCTGATGTTGCTTTTGCGCCGAGAGTTGTGTCGCTCGAACGTCTTCTGTGCGGAGAACGGGCTCGGTCGCACCAGGTAGACGATATCGCCCTCCTCAAGTTTCAGGTCGCAGCTCGGGTTGATGATCACGTAGGAGAGGCTGCTGCGCTTCTCCGATACATCGTCGTAATCGGCGACTGGTAGATTCAGCGATTCCATCCGCGAGCGCACCAGGTTTGCAATCTCCGCCCGTTCGATCTGCTGCGCGTGGTTGTCGCGCGCCTCGTCGCCGAGGCTCACCGAATACTAGCAATATATGAGAGAGATGAAGTATTAGTATACATGCACTCGCTGAGACACACAGGCAGTCTGCTGTGACGATCGGTAATATCAACGAGGTAGCATTAATAGTGCCATTGTTACCATTCTTTTCTATTTATACGTAATTTTACATAAACATTGTGCATCCAACATTACTAATTAAATTATTATATTTATAAAATGCAGTATAAAGTATTGCGTCTCTGTAGAACGTGTTAGAAGCTTGTTTTTAATTTTAATATTATCTGATTTGGCAAAGTGTCGTATAAATGTAGAAATATAAGTTTTTCGAAAGAGAAACGATAAGTTAATATATTCACGTATGAGTTATCTAATGCCATAAAATTAATTTAATAAAAATGTATATTTATGTATCATTATATTATGCGCCAGATGCAACAAGTGGCTTGCAAGATATTATTACAATAATGTTATGATTAAAGTGACATCATTAAAATAATCACACCTCTTCGATAGAAGCCGAACGTCACAATCGATTGACCTTAAATCTAAGCAATAAATAAGAACGTCTTCGACTTGTGAAGACGAAGAATTCCTGACACGAGTATAATCAATCGGGGATGCAACGACGTTTTACATGCGCTGCTGTGCTGCGGCAGACGAGTCTGGATGTCCATCAGACATATATGTGAGCGTGATAAAGAAAGAAAAAAGGAGATGTAGGTATAGAGCGATAGATTGAGAGAGGCGGGAAGGGGAGGGGGAGTATACGTGATGAAAATATATGTACAAAACAGTCGGAAGAAAGAAAGAAAGAAAGAGAGAGAGAGAGAGAGAGAAAGAGAGAGAGAAAAAGAGAGGAGAACAGCCACCACGTCGACGTTTTACTCACAGCAGATGCACCCTTGTCGCGGGTGGCGCAATTCGCAAGGCACGATGCTGCCGCCGAATGACGCATCTTGTACGTCACACCGACGCCGGCGTCGCTTTCCGCGTCTGAATCGCCCTGCTAAAACGACAAGCAATTCTACCCTTACTAATGATAGCGCATCGCCGCGATGCCGTGCCGTATTTCGCGTCCGAGCGCAGCGCGTTGCTGTCACTCGATGTAAACGATTCGAGATCTTCCTTCCATCCAGAGAAGTAAGTGTTTCTCACTAAGGATGCTCAATACGTAGCACAAACGAGCTCTTGTATTTTTATCGAAACGCTTTCTATATCATTTTGCACTATAATATCAATAAATCATTTTTGCTTTCCCGTGGAAAAAAGGATTTGATATATTAAAATTAAAGCTACGTAGCTCTAAACATTTTTGAAAATCTATCAATTTGCCAATTCTTCAGTACTTTATCACATATCGGAGATTATCAAGGAAAGCAACTTTGTAAGAGCATACTAAATCTAGCACAATGCAAATTTAAGAACGCAGAGATCAATGAACTGGAAAGATAACGTGCTATGAGAGTCAGTTCGTCAAGATGCAACGGTCCCGCGGCTCGTTAGTTACACGCGGCAGGATTAGGCCGAGAAATGCCACGAGAAGAGAGATGGGGCAGGAAACAAAACCAAAAAAAAAAGAGCGAGAGCACAAGCATGCGCTACTCACAGCCGCCATTCAAAGATTCTTTTCCTATCCTTATAAAAAGTACAAGTAACAAACTATTTCGGTTAGACTTCTCTCTAGATGAGAAATGTGATATTACTTACGTGAGACGAATCGGATACGGTAGTGTCCTGCGTCCTGTATATTCCAATTGGTATCTCGCAAGTGGTCGAGCAGAGTTTCTGATACAACCTGCCGTACGTCCTTATCCACATGTCTTCCTTTGTTATACGCATCTGCAATTATCATTATCGTGATTGATGACAATCAATAACAAATATAAAGCTAAATAGATTCTTTTTTATAACAACTTCTATATAAAAATTGTCTGAATAAATTATTTTTCTATTGACAGGTTGCTGTTGCAATTGCATCCTTCTTATACTTATATTATATTTCACATATTAATAAAATATATATTTTAAACAATTATTCACCGACGTCAGAAACCCAGATCCTGGCGCTTGGTCCACTCCTAATAATAATCTCACGAATGTTATCACGTAATCCTTGACGAATGCTTGATAAAGCAAAGTGTCTAACATCGAGGCGCTGAAGACACTGCCAGCGGCGAACGGCAGTCGAAACATGTACGATATGTGAGATCCTCTCTCTTTTTCTCTCTACAAACATACATAGTGTTAATTGTTAATTTTATTTATTTATAAATACCGCCAATTGTTGTGTGCAATTGTTCCTAAAATCTGTCACAAACTCTCATACATCTTCCGCTAACGTGCACGAGCATTTCTTGTCATTTACATATGTCCGAAATATGTCAATATTTTAAATGTGAAAGAGCAGTATCAAGTTTTTCAAGTGTTTCAATAAATATATCTAACCAATACACGCAAGCATTTTTGCATAATTTTATTATATTGGTCATACCAATCGTTAAACACATAAATTATTATTTAAAAAATAAGCAATTTTAAAATATTTTTTAATATATATATATATATTGATCTTTCTAATAATCTACGATGTAATAATGTCAAAGTTAATTAAACCAAAAATTTATCTGATAATGCATGATACATTACAGTTACATAAAATATGTTTTTAATTTACACACACATGATAAAAAAATCAGCTTTTTTATTTCCTTCTCTAATCATTTCAACTAATACTGATTAAAAAATTAAAATTTTTGAAATGTAATCTATTTGGATAGATCTATTTTAATAGATATTTATGTTAGCAATATTGAATCCATTCTCAATATCGAATATATCAAATATGCAAATCTTCGGACATCTATCCATGTCGCAACGCGTCGTGCAATGTAGCGTGAAATATACGTGAAAGAGATACGAAGATGTTATCGCGATGATAAGTAATGACGTGGCATAACAAGACGAAGACGAAAAGGACTTCCAATTTTGATGTGGAAATTTCAGCTCGCAAATTTAAAGAATAATAAGATTTATATTAATATTTCTGTAACTTGCAGCTAAAATATCTAACGGCATTCCGTAACACGGAGTTGAAATATACATTGTTGCATATAATTATATTAAGTGTTTTAATTTCAAATCATCGCCATTAGTCTTCTTCTAAATCACTATGTAATTCTAAATTATAAGTATTATGTATATACTATACATAATCTACATTTCATCCATCTATTCAGTTGTGTCACGTAATAAGAAGCAAATTCATCGTAACTCAATATAATCGTCATTTAAAATTTTTGAATGAGCATATTGTCATACTGAGTATGAAACAATACTTAAAGATTATGTAAGAATTATATTTGCTGAATATATGCAGCGGTTGACAAAATAAATCATGCTTAATAATGTATAATAGAAAAATAAAATAATATTATACGCTTGCAGAAACACAAAGAAAGTGCCTATGGCACTTTGAAAGATCTAATCTATTAAGCAGCATCAATTTTTCGTGTATAATATATATATATGTATGTATATATATTATAGATATGAGTCACACACTATGCTATATAATATCAATTTAAAATTAAAAAATACTAGAAAAAATGGCTATCGATATGGTAAACTTAACGGCACGATAGCTATATGTATATAAAAAATAATCAGTTTATTGTGAGACACATGCATCAATATCTAGATTTTTAATCCTTTCAGTACGATAGTACAAAAGTGTAAAACGATCGTTACGGCCGAGACAATATAAATACAACTTGCGATGTCATATAATTATCACATTAATTAAATATCTTTTTTAATAAAAATCTAAATGGAAATGTCATTTCTATTAGCAGAAATTGTTTCAAATCTATTTAGCACAACATGTATTTTTGATTATACAAAAATAAGATGGCACATATATATGACTTTAATGAACGTTCTTTTTGAACGGGATTCTATGTACGTTTTCCGTAATGAAAGGATTAAGCAGCTACCTCTAAAATATTGATCATAAAGTTTCCAGTATTCTCCACGTTTTTATCGCTCTCGTAAGATATCCATGATTTGTAAAAAAAAATTCTTTGTTTTTAACAGTCCGTTAAATTTTATCACATTGGGTAAATATTAGTTAATCAGTACATATTTTTTGTAAACCAACTATTTATAACCAATTTTTTTAATAATTGATCATATTTACTCAAAAGGATAATTTATCCTTTGAAATGACATGTAATAGCCGATCTAGAAGAATCTGGCGATGATGTATCGGTTATAATGTGATTACATGCTACATTTTGTCCTCCTTTCAGAGTTCTATTAAAATATCTGTCTCGTTTCCCTCCGTGTTATAGTATCGCAGACAGAAGAATAAAGTAAAGCTGCGAAGGTGCTGGTAAAGTCGACAAGGGACGCAACGAGGGTGCATGCGGAAAACAGCACTTAGAGCAAAGTGGTTTCCGCGCGCGAAGCGACTTTACTCTCGTAATTTCTTTTCGCTTACTTTCAACAGCGTGGGTTTACGAGGTCGGCTATCGCAAATCTCGGAAAGCGTCCTTTTAAGTTTCTCGCAACCTCGAACGCTGCATCCGCCGAAATTAGATTTGTATAAAAGTCACGTCGGAAAATAGCGAATCATGGAAAAGAGAAAGAGTTTCACGAGCTCAAGTCAGATAAAAATGTATTTTTAAGATTATTCGGTAGATTATTTATCGGAGATTACTTGTGTTTATAAATCACTTCGGATATAGATTTATAGATATACGAAGATATTAATTTTATAATTGATGTATTTTTTTTTTTTTTAAATTGGGTCAAGTGCGTTGCAAATACTTGAGATGATATACGAGAGCGACAACAACATTAAAGATGGTTGGCAGTCAATCGATCAATCAATTCAACAATCAGTCAATCCATCATCAATCAGAGGTCGGAGAATGAGTGATATCGTGTTACCGGGGAGCCCATCGAAGGCTCATCGGAGTAGTTGTCATCGGTAGTAGTACTGAGGAGTACCTTTTCCATTTTGCTGAGATGCAAAGCGTACTTGTCGTGCGCCCGGAATTGCATGAAACGCATATTACTCGACTGGGACAGTTCCGTTATGCTCTTTATGCTCGGGAAGAATCTATCGAGAAAATGGAAATAAATAAAAGTTAAAAGTAAAAAAAAAGTTTTATATATACGATATAAATAAACATATAATTTTTATCAATTATCTCTATTACGTAAATATATTTGTCATTATTATAAACATTACATTTTAGCTATTTTGATTCCTTTTTCATTTTTATTCAAATTTTCTTTTTTATTTTAAAATTATATTATAAAAATTATTTAATTTTGAATAGTGAAAATATTGTAAATCTCAAATAAATTGTGCATTTAAAGATTAAAAGACATGTATATGTTTGTATGAAACTTTAAAAGTATATCTCAAACTGAAAAATCGTATATATATATACGTATATAATCTTTACACTAAACAGCAATGAATATCTTGGCCCAGATTCAAGTAATAAGTTTGTGGTCAAAACACTTCTCATCAGATAAATTCCGTAGTACATGCAAATACTCACTTGAACATAGTTTGCACCGCAACTATCGTGTTACAATCAGCTAGGGTATCCTCTTCGGCGGAATTGTTGAGCTCCTTGTTTACGACCACGACGTTCTCTGCCAAAGTGATACCGGCCCGAAGAAGGTCGTCCAAGCAGTCGATGGAGCCGCGCATCCAATAGACCAACGGAAAGTAGGACACCGCGTCGAGAAACGCGATTTCCGGTTTCCTCTCCAGCAAAAGGATGATCGGATTCAATGACGTTTTCGACCTGGGAAATACTATTGCTCGTTAATTGTTCACCAACCCTATTCATATCCACGTCGATCGAATGATTACTTCTGACTAGCGACACAGAACAGTTTGTAACATTCAACGAAATATAATACTCTGTTGTTATGTATAACACACTCTTCATTTTTAAAATTATCTATCTGTTAAGTATTAAAATAGAAAATATTTTATTAAAAATACGACGGATATAAATGGCTTTTCGTGGAAGCGCCGCCACAATAACAGGTTTTTAAATTTTGTTTTAAGGCCTTAACATTTGTTACACAGTTAAAAAAATATTTGAAATGTTTTATAAATGATCGGATATTTCTTTAATTAATGGAAAGTGTGTTAATGTGAATGGCAGAGAGATATACATATATTTAAAAAATAATGCTAAAAAATTACTTATATGTATAATAATCTTACTTATATAATAATCATACATTTTTATATAATTCAATAATTATAGCAATAGCAAAATACAAAATAACACTGCAAATGATAAGATTTTTACTTATCTTGTACAAGTGTAATTTTGTAAAGTTAAATAAACAGTTCAAGCTAAAAAATGACATATTAAGGCACATCAATATTGCGATACGTACCTAAAATGTGCTCTTAATGGTATTATAAAGTTATAAATCCCATTGCTGGCGTAATCGGCCGCCAATATGATGGTCTTATTTTGCCAATTGTATTCTTTGGCGTTCCTATAGCTGCAATGCTGGCATACCTAAATCAAAAAGACGAAAAGAATTGTGAGTATCGAGGGAATCGGTACTTGTTTTTTTTTCAATTTTTATACAATTTTATTTTATTTTCTAAATTCTCATACCTGAGCCAGTTGAAGGCAACAGAGCGGCTTCTTCTCTTTGAGAAGATAGCACAAGGTCGGCGAAACTCCAATGAATGGTGAAACCGGCGGAAATCCCTTGACAATCCTGCAACGTCGTTGAAACTTGATTATCTCATCCCGACACTTTTACGTGTGATGCTAGATTTTTACGCCGTGCTTCTTATTAAAGAAACGTCGCTCGAGAAGACTCAAGTGATAACGCGATTACTCGAGAAGGCGTCTCATCAGCTGGTAGAGATACTGGCGCATGATCAAAACTGCCACTCGTCTTTTTTTCAAAAATTAAATCAAGATTGAATCGGTTTTATCATATTTTTTGTTAGCCATAGTTTATAGATGCTCGACAGTTACTTTAGAACTCGCAAGAACGCGCTTTTTGATACGTGGCGAAGATATACGACTTTTCGCAGAAAGTTTAACTCTCGAATATCGTTTACCGATTTTCAGAGCTCCCTGAAATCCGGAGATGGGTCTCTTGAAGAAGATGAAAGAGGGGACAAGTAGCTTTACACTACTCTCGAATCTCGTGAGTATCATCGCGTCACGCAATCCAAGCGGCGAATTGTGGACAGTGTTCGATATCAGGATAGTGTTATGCCTGACCGGAAGCATTTATCGCGCTCATAATGCCGCTGTGTTTGTTCGTAAATTATATCCTTAGGTAATTTATATTCACGATTAATATCGCTCTGCAAAATTTTACGACATAGTTAATGGTGTTCAAGACACACGAAAGTTTCAGTATAAAATTTTTATATATATTTTTAGTTGGCAATTTATTTTTGAAACAATCACGAAACAAAAAAATTACTTATTATTATTATATTATATCTAGCACTAAAAATTTATTATTTATATATTTTTTCTTAATTTTTTTTCTTAATTAGACATTACATATTTAATCTCGATGTGTGAGTTGCTTATATATTTAACGAATAATTAAAATAACGATGATAAAATAAATTTATATTTAATTTAAATCAATTTGCTGGTGGAAAACCACGTATATCAATATAGCATATTGCAAATATTATAATCGGAGGATTATCGGACATCTGTTTTCGATATATACTTACATCGAGACCATTTTGATAAGCAAACTTCTAGTTTAGCTAAGACATGTACTATGTTATAATAAGTAAATTAAAATCCTCAAGATAAATAAATATAGGTTTTAATAACTAATCAAGCAAATTAAATTGAGAGAGAGACAGAGAGAGAGAGAGATGTGTAGAAGCGTAAAACGAGAGACTCACCCTTTGTAACTGCTGGACGGAAGTCGTGCGACAAGACGGCAGTGCAAGAAGGAAGACATCGAAAACATCCATGAGAACATATAGGGTGTCAGGCAGGACAGCATCGAGCAGCGATTCAACGGCACCGTCCGGTGCCGTTAGTGAAACAGGCATCGAGAGACATTGAGACAAGACACATCGACCATTGACTTGCACGATTATACTTAAATGATTAAAGATGGAAGGGATAAACATTTCGCGGTGCGTCAAAATAGATTTGCGTCTAACGATAAATGTTTAACGACTCATTTATCATGTTCGGTTCCCCATTTCATGTTCGCAGAGAGATAAGCCCAGAAAAAAACATACAAATAATACATAATATAATAAAAAAATTTATAGTCCGACTTATCTTTTATCCTACTTTGCTTCGTATCGCTTTGTAAAATTCTAAAAATTCATTCTAAAAATTTATTCTAAAAATGTCTTTATCTATAGAGATATCAGAGATCGTACTTGTGTTGCTAACTATATAAGCATAGCACTAATCTACTTTTGACTAGTAGAATAAAGGAATATTATAAAAATATAAAATTTTTCATTATTTATGCAAAATATTCTAGAAGGCGCGTGCTTCCTCTACACTATATATAAGAAAGAGCGTCTTTTCTATCTTGAAAAGAATATATAAATATTTGATATATAAATTCATATATAATAAAAGCAAGGTGAATTATTTTTGCAGTTAATTTTAAATAAATTTTAACAAGTACGAAGTTCAATAGTCACAAGATAATTGAAATTAAATATTAAAAAGCTTTCCATGACTCTTCGGGAATATTTTATAAATATGAAAAGCAGATATTTAACTTTGTTTTTGAGTGTTTGTATTATATTTCCTCCAATAAATTGAAAAAGCAAAAAAGTTTATCTTTCAACAAAATTTTAATTATCAATTTTTACACATAAAAAAATAGCAATTTAGAATCCATGTTCTAAGATTCTAAGATATTAAAATATGTGAAATGGATAACATACTTAGCACTTTAGGTTTACAGATGAGAGAAGGATATCGGCAAGGGATCATTAGCGACATGATAATTATGCATAAAACGTTATATGTCTTATTTTATGCCAAAAATGTTTTTAATTAAAAAATATCTGAATAAAGTATATTATTCAATGTAATTTCAATAAATTGAAGCGATAATTTTTTCCTCGTAAAATTTCGGATTAAAATTAATGGGGATTAAAATTTATTTTTAATTGCAGTCATTTTCATTCGTTATACAAACTAGAAGGATATAAGCACTCATGCTTTCGTGAACTAACGTTATCCTGCTGACAAGATAACGACGGTGTCGAGAGTATCCGAGATGAAGATAAGAGTACGTTGCAAAGGCGCGAACGCGCATGATGCATGCTTGCGTAACTCTCCGAGTGTAGGTAGTCGCATAAATGACCTCTCTTTCGATGTCACACAAAATGAACGAACAATCGTGCCTTTCCTGATGTTTCCGCGCTAACGACGTCATTAAATTAAAAGAGCGCCGAGCTGTCTTTCAGAGAAACACGAATGACTTTGTGTCCAGTCTGATCCTGCAAAGGCTTTTTTGCGAAATTTCATGGTAATGAAATGACATAGAATTTAGCGTTAATAATCAAAATTTTAAAAATTGACATGAAATATGCCATATTATTATTTTAATTAATTGAATTATTTGCTGCAGTTTAACAAAAAGGTAAATATTTTTTATAATAAATATACGCAGACTATTATATTACTGTCCTTCTTTCTTTTGCTACAGCAACCTTTGCAATGCCCAGAGATCGAGTTCAAGGCTGGTAAATGAAGTTTCAAAAGCTAATAAATTAATTTATACGCATGTGAGCACACGCATCTAAATCAGAGGGATATTGATATATAGGATAAAATGTGATAAAAATTATATCAGAGATCACATAAAGAACTAAAATAATTGCATAATAAAAATTGCACTGAAAGAATGAGACGCTCAAAAAGTCATTTTAAACTCTCTGTCAAATTTAATTTGTAACGACCTACTTATATATATATATGTATACTATATATATTATATGACAATGAGAAATGTGGAAATTTTTTTTTTAAATTTGTGGTTTTTTTCACAAGAAATTTATATATAACTAAGACGCGTGTAAACTTAAGAGAAAAAAAAGACGCAGAGATTTGTAGACTTAATTATGTTTATATGTGTAATAATTACGTGTAATTTTTCTTCATTTTTATTAATCATCCCTGAAATTTTAAAATCTTTCTTTTGCGGGTTGTCTCCAGACTTTGCGGTTATTGTGCAAATATAAAAAATATAAAGTGCATACAATATATGCATAAATATAAAAAATATATGTGTATAATGCACATAAACAAATCCGATGCTTAAGACCGCGTCATGCAAGTGCACGAGACAGAGTGCGAAATTATTTGTTCTCGGAGAATCTTGTGCGATTGTGCTAGAGAAAGATCGTTCATAACAAATATTAAACAAATCGGAAGAAGAGAAAAAAGTGGACATACATTTCTGCTAATAATTTTTCCTCTACTTCTCTTCGAAAATAAATATATTGATTGACTTCTCTAATTCAATGAGTTGTTCTTCGTGCTGCATTAATTATCAAGGATCCGTGATATCTCCACGGATCCTTGAATGTAATGTATATCACGAGAAAAACATACTTACGCGATTTTCTCGCTTGGCGATCTCCAGGGAACATCGTCATCCATTTCGTCCTCCGACTCATCACCGTCGTGGTCTAAGGATTCCTGACCAGGCAAATGCAGCGTCGAGCTAGTCAGCATATCTGGTACTGGCAGAATACTCGGTCTTCTGCTTCCTGATTGCAAACAAAATGATTATTATGCAGGATGTTTTGTTAATCATTGATACTCATAAATATGACATTAACATTAATTCTTTATTATAATATTAAATAAGATTTTATTCATGCGTTGAAATGATTTGGTATAATAAACATATAGTTGACTTAATCGAATCAATTAAGTTAATTTTTTATAAGAATTTAAACTGCAGTAT